AACATACCTGACCTTTGGAGTACGTACGTCATCTCGCGCTCGAGCAAATATGACCCGGGGATTCCCCATTCAGTGTGTGACATCGTACACAGTGTATGTGTCTTAAGTCTTGATATTGAAAGGGATGCGAGTATGTCTGTTGGTGTGGCTTTGTAAGACTTGTTTATTGTATAAATTATATTTTTGCGTGCGTGTAGAAGTCATTACATGGTATAAATTGTATTTTGCTAATAGATACTTACTATTCATTTTCGAGAATTCTTGTTTCATTGCCGTAATATGTGTTTAACAAAAATGTTTTTTAACTAAATACTGTTTAACTAAAAAGACATCCAAAACAGTGATGGCTTATTAATCTTGGAATACCCTAAAACCTTTAGAGCATAAGTGAAATAAGCGAAAATAATAATTATTATTCTGTTATCATTTTTTTTTATAGGCTAAAATCCAAAACAGAATAAAACAAAACTCGAACCGTAATCATGGTATTTATTTTCCAACTTGTTAACAAGTAGTTATATCCTATCTAGATTCTTAATAAGAGTCCATAATCTTCTTATTAGAAAGCCTGAGATACTGTTTCCATTATGCGGCTGATTTGAGTAGTGCCTTTTATCATGTCCTGGATTATAAAGCAATTGTTGACTGTATAGCCAGATTTGAATAGTAATAATAATAATTTTAGTGGAGTCTTGTATAGCGCTCATGTGAGCACTAACGTCATTTGGCAAATCATTAATTTACACTTGCCACACTCTACCCAGGTGAGGTAAATGGGTACGTGGCAGGAATAAATTCTATGAAATGCTTGAGCGCTGTAATGGCAGCCGTGCTAAAGACAGTGTAAAAAAAAATGGTGCGCCAGGAGTTGCAATGTGCCAGACATGAGCGCTTTATAAGACTCCAGTATGTTATGACTATTATGTCTGCCACATCGCCAATTCTGACACTCAATTATTATTGCCCTGGCTATAGAACGGCTGCAATTACGGCACTCGAGCATTTCCTTAATCATGCCAGATACACATTTACCTTACCTGCCTAGAGTGTGGCAAGTGTAGATTAATGTCTTGACAAAGGACATTAGTGCTCGACAGGGATTCGAACCTTGCACCTCGTGGTTCACAGTCTGGAGACTTATCCACTGGACCATAACAGACCAATGGTGTGCTACGCCCGGCGCACATAATGCGTCATTAGGGACTTTTAGATTTACACGTCGACAGCTTTGACTGCAACGTGTGACGTCATTTTAAGGCACTGCGCATGCGTTACGTCGTCTCAGTCGGCGATCGAGAATGCGTCAACCTTGATTTTCCTAAATTTAGTACATACATACATACATATTTATATTTATATAGCACCTTTACATGCTCAAGGTACTAGTATGCCGCGTGCGCATAAAATATACAGTTCCTCAGGTAGACAAAGGGACATCCCTTCCCTGCTATTATGTAAAAATGTGAAGAACAGGTGTCACATGCATATTCACCTGTTAAACACATTTTTACATAATAGCAGTGAAGGGATGTTCTTTTGTTGAGGGTAGAATTAGGAACTGTATATTTTGTCCTCTTTCTTTGTCCGTGATGTTCATAGTGTTACTTCCTGCATGCATGTATATCGTTGATTGCAATCTAAAACATTTCTAATTGTAGTCAACATGGGCAGTTAAGTACGTTGACACGCATGGCCAGTCGGCGTTCGTCGTGTTCTCGTCCACTCAATCTAAAAGTCCCTATTTAGACTGCGCTCTTACTTGCGTCAATCAACCCTGTGGTAACGAGGCCTTAAAGGAAACCAAAACCTTCAAACTAAGTTACTTTTATTGTAAAGTTTAAGATATTTGAAAAATATCAGTGAAAATTTGAACAAAATCGGGCAAGGAATAAGGAAGTAAGAGCTTTTTTAAATTACTAGTCACTAGAGGGCGGTATTCAATTTGATGACATCATCTGTGGACAACACTCCATGCCTTTTGTACATCAAATTTCATGTTTTTCCTTCTTTCTTGTGATTGAGATAATGTACTCCCCTGAAAGCAAGATATAGAATTCAAAATGATATTCTACTTCACATGTTATGAAGTCGGATCAAGAACACAAATAAATACGAAGAAAACAACAAAATTGTGAAATTTTATGTACAAAAGGCATGGAGAGTTGTTCACAGATGATGTCATCAAATTGAATACCGCCCTCTAGTGACTAGTCATTTCAAAAAGCTCCAACTAGGCGTTGTGGCGTGCGCCTGTAATCCAGCTAAAAAGTGGAAGTTACAAACTGATTCAGCCGAGGACGCAGGTTCGAAACTGAGTCACGTCTTTCGGATGGTGACGTTTAAAGGTCGGTCCCAGACGTAAATAATCATATCTGATTGATACACGTCTGTAAAAACCCAATACACACACACACACACACACACACACACTCCAACTTTCTTATTTCTTGCCCGATTTTGTTCAAATTTTCACTGATTTTATTCAAATCTTTTAAACTTTACAATAAAAGTAACTTAGTATGAAGGTTTTGGTTTCCTTTAAATAGCGGTAATTCAAAACAGTGTTTGCACTTCATGCTCATCTTGCATTCAGTCTTATTGTACGGTGTCCTTCTCATATTGCGCGTTAAAGATCGCACTATTCGATGACGCAATCTTACGTCAACGAATTGTCTAATGACATTTACAAATTTAGATCTCATCTTCTCGCTCTTAGTAACAGTTCAGGTTTTTCCCACGATTATCGACTCTGAATTTCTCAGATCAATATAATTATACTGTTAGTACATAGCAGTGTTAAACAATTTCTTGACCTGTTTGGTTTACTCACCGGCAGCTTTATACCCCCCCCCCCCCCCCACCCAGTGTTATTTAGGGTACGCGTATGCTTGTACCCTCTTTTTGAAAAGACCCCCTATCTGAGCACTGCCAACATTTCCGAATCCCCCTTTTGCGGGCTTTTCACGGGCTTTTCCTGCCTTGGAGACCCCCCTAAATCCAGAACGCTGCTCAATGTACCCCCCTATCTCAGGACATGCAGACCCCCCCCCCCCCCCCCCCCCCTCTCATCTCAGATAAGCTGTCATTACTGGTTGGCACTTCTTTAAGTTCTTCTTCTTGATCATTTTGAAGCAAAAATTTTTTAGGGCTTCAATATTACACCATATCACAGACACTGATAACATGTATGGCCTTGCATCTCAGATTTAACATTGTTAAACGATCCCTTTAATACACATCCAGGATAGTAGACCTATTACTAATGCAGCTGTGACTATGTGTGAATTAGGGTAGCCTACACTACAGTACAAAACTACATAGGTCTAGATCCAAGTGCCACATATTCATTTTCATGGGTGTAGGAAAATGAGTTTGAAAGTGTTACTATTGCGCCCCTATTGCGATCAAACTATAGGGCAAACTACTCACCTGAATGTGCCACCCTGTGAGCCACAGGTAGACAGCCACAATATCCACAACGAGGAGACTGTGGGTCCTGCTCAAAGACGTCCCAATCGTGACAATTTTGGCAGGGCCCACGCCTCATACCCCATCTTGATGCCCCGGCTTGATGCCGAGCCTAACCCGATATGCATGCTGAGCGTGCAGCTAGCGGATGCGCCGTACAGACTATACGTTCTGTTGTTATCTCTCTCTCTCTCTCTCTCTCACACACAGATTTTGAGAAGTCCGTACTGCCGCCGTACTGGGACGGGAGTGCATGGGACTCAATGTTTTTACTTTTCATAATGAAATAATCCTGATTGAGCTTTCAAAACTAGCAGGAATTTCTGAAATCTGATCGCGGGATTTCATCAATTTTTTTATGTTCAACTTCAAGATATTTTAAAACCCCCTTTTTTAATTTCAAAGAGATGAGAGAAAAACACCCCCTTTTTAAAGAAATCTCCGGGTGAAAGTCAAATACACCCCCTTTTTTTACATTTCTCGGGCCGGACTTTGTCGCACGAAAAGTACCCCTTTACCGGACATTTTGGCAACACGCATGCGGTCATTTCGAAACCTGAGTGGGGGGCCGGGCTTTATACCTATTCACATTCGCCCTCACACATCCGACCCCAAATGGGGGCAATTTCAATTTAAAGCAGGACTAAAGGAAAACAATAAATGATGTTGATATATTTATTCAAAGTGGAACATTAGACATACATGTATACTTTCGTACACTTCCACCAAAAAAAAGAATTACATCAACTTGTTCACGAATAATGCAGCCTTCTGTACGAAGTGCTTATCAGAATGAATATACTTGACTGCAATTGCCATTAGCCCAGATTCTACTATCAATATTTGACTCAAATTAGTGATGAAAGGACAACAACATGGTTATATAAGGTTATAGTAGTTGTGTTTGCTATTTTTTTATTACACTATTAGAAATGTTGTGAGGAATTATCTATATTTTTTTTATTTTTCTCAAAATCTGCATAGTTAGGAAAATGTATGCAGTACAACGCAGGAGACCGCCATCATTAGCGAGTTGCTTCACGTCGATGGTGGCCTCAAGGTAGAAAACGTGACGCCCACTACACCCGCAACCAATTATAATACATGTATTCTAATGGTTACAAATCTTTATGAAAAAAATTCCTATTGGGAATTTTTGAGGCATTTAGCTGAAAAATATTGCACTTTAAAAAAAATAAAGTTTTGTGAATCACCATAATATATTGCTCCTATTCTTTGCCAATTTACATTTTTTTAATTTTTTAGTAACTGTTAGGTTCTTTTTCAAACCAAGATAGCATAAATGAATATACAAAGACGGGTATAGAACAGTATAGTTACCCTCTAAAAAAAAATTGAGTGATCACGGATGTCACTCCTCTGGAGAGGAAAAATGTAGTGAAAATAGAGTGAACATTCACTCTTTTCTTCTTAGAGAGCACTCTAAAATCCATAGATTTTCACTCCTAAACAAGTGATCACGGACGTCACTCCCAAGAAAGTGAAAATAGAGTGAAAATTCACTCTTTTTTTAAAGAGAGTAGCATGGTAAGTTCAAGTTCAAGTTCAAGTTCAATTTTATTGAACATGCACAATTACATGGCATAAAATCATTTTCCGGCTGTTTTTCAATTTATATAATATCAATTAACAAACATGTACTATCAATTTATACAAAATGCAAAATCAGGAATATATACAACACACAATAGAGCACGAGTACAGAGTGGTATAGGCTTTGGTATAGAAACATAATAGCACAAATTACAACCGTAGACATACCAGAGATCAATACTGGTGATATCATTATACGGTTAAGATAATAGTTTTGGTGATGTACATACGTCACAATAGAAAAGTTATCAACAAGCATTACAAACACCGAGTACAGATTCACAAAGCCTAAATTAAAAAAAAAATTTGATAATACTAAACAGTAACGTCGCTTATAGGACTAATCACAGAATTAATTATTATTACATGATTAATTCTTTATACTATACCATCCAATCTCAGATGCCCGAAAGATTTGCTAAAAATAAACATGTTAATACGTATCAAGTCAATAACGTATGTAAAGGTTATATCATATTCACTTAAAAAGAGGTGTTGTAGTCGAGTGGTTTGAGCAATTGCCTGGATATACAAAGACTTTACTGGCATGGAACCAATGTCCTTCGTCAAGGCATTAATCCACATTTGCCACTCCGTACCCGAAAAAGAAATGGCGACCTGGAACGATGATGAAACCCTTTGTGATAGTAATTGCCAATACATGATCCATACACTCCATGCTTCCCTCATTTTGTTTTCTCAATTGCGTACTATATATATTGTTTAATATAGTGCGAATGATTTAAAATTACCTCAGTAATATATATCAAATTTTCCAAACCGCATTCTTTGACTAAAAATGAATTTAACATATTTGACGATTTTTGAAGAAATCTGTTTCAAACTTGTTGCAAAAGAAACAGGAACTTGAGGGATAATTTTTCACTAGGGGTTCTGATGGGTACCTTATCACTCAATCGTTGTCTGGCTAGCGATAAAAAAGGGTCTTCATCACACCCTTTGGGATATCTATTTAATTTAAATTTCGCTTACAGCACCCCCAGTAAAAAAAAAAAACACGAAAATACACACATTGGTATCCTGGGCCAGTGACTTTGATTATGAATAAAAAGTCATTTATCCCAAAGGTATTTAAAATCATTGGTGTGCTTTGAATATTGTATATGCCTATACTGCCTCAGTACAACGGGCGAGCGTGGAATATCAGTTCCGCTTAACTAAAATAAATTAATGTAGATCATATTTTCTTGTAAACATAGTGAACATGAGGAATACATTTTGTTTTAATTTAAAAGTCCTGACATATTTTATATGATATTATTACCAGTTGGAGCTAGTGACTGATATAATCAGTAAATACGTACTGTGGATTAAAAACCATCATTAAAATCATTGTATGTATATGTAACTAATGGCTTCTTGTATTGCAGCGTAAAATGATAGATAGCTGTTAGAAGAAAAGAGAAAGGATCCTTAGCCACGAGCACGGGATGGGTTGTTGGCAGCTGTAGGGTTTGGTGGGGTGTCTGTTTCAGTGGTCGGAACAGTTGTAGGGTTTGGTGGGGTGTCTGTTTCAGTGGTCGGAACAGTTGTAGGGGGCTGAGTGGTTTCTTTAGGAGAGATTGTTGTAGGAGTGGTAGCAGTTGTAGGAGTCGATCCTGGTAGGCTTGGGGTGGTAGTTGCAGAGGGAGAGGATTTGCCGAGTCCGACAGCTAGACCACCTACAACCGCTGCAATCGCTAAAACAACTATTATGGCTGGCCATCGCTTTCGAAAGAAATCCAAAGGTGGTTGGAAGCAAGGCTTTGATGGCATGGGGGTCATCGCAGCCTTCACCAGGAATTTCTTCAGGTCTTCCCAGTTAGTTTCCTGCATCTCCACAGGTCCATCCAGCTTACCGCACATCATGACAAGAGAAGACTGCTTAAACGTTGTACCTTGCATGCTTTCAAAGTTCTCCATCTCTGCTCTGTACTTGTCAGGTGTGTCCAGACCCTTACTGGAGGGGAAGTCGTGGACTAACACACAAACTCTGGCCTTTCCTGAGTAGATTGGAGAATGAAAAATAAAAATGACGAAATTTATTAATATGCATTCATTTCCCTAAACATTATGGCCTAAGTCTTTGAGCACAATTTTGCCATGGGAGCTGAGGTCATTTTGTCAAAATAAAACTTGTCCATATATCTAAAAACTTACATGCGAGCAAAGCGAGTAAAACCTTAGACACATTATTTTTGGTGACAATCACTAATACTGGTGGACTACATGTACATAAATATATGTATCTATTTGTTGCCTTTCAGTGTAATTTCGCCACAGTATAATATAAATGAAAAAAATTAAAAAAAGAAGACCTCACCACCCCCAATGTGAAGTAAGTGCTGCCCGAATATTATTAATTGTATAAGAAGTCAATTTACTTTTTATTTTTAACAGTTTAATTAAGGCAAACACTGCACATTCTTCGTTTACAAAAAAATGCTTGTCACAACAATTGTCTATTTCTACTAAATTTGATTTCGTGAACAAACTGTGAACAAACCTAGAATTTTGGCAGAGTTGGGTAAGAATTTATCGTAGAGGGCGTCCAAGACATCAGTGATGGCAAACCTTCTGTTGTTGATAGAATGGCAGAGTATCATGATGTTAACATCAGAGCCTTTGATTTCGAAATGATCTATGTCATTGTATGGTAGTTCGTAGTACTGGACGTCCAAGTCTAGGTCGGGGAACTTGCTGGCTAGCTGATCAATAAATCCCTGTACGTTGATCGCATTAGCAGACGTACATACAGACACCTTCAATGGCTGCAGATCAAAAAGAGTCGAGTAGAACATTTTTAGGGGATTCACATGGTTATTCTTCTAAGTATATTTTGGCCGTTATGCTTCGTAATCATTAACTCCAAACTATTTGTTTATACTAAAGGCTATGAGGGGATATTTTTGATACTGTGTATTCCCCAAGTATAATTACTTTGATTCCGTCAATACCATCATTATTAGATGTCCACATAAAACTTTATAATTTATTTATATGAAGTGCTAGTTAGCAAATGGTTGCGAATAATACATATGATATTTTCCACCATAGCTTTGGGTACATGTACATGAATATTCATGTTCAGTCATTATTATCATAATCTGAGATCGATTGGGTAATCGCAATTTAAATCAAATATGATTGTTATGAACTCCTAGGGACACACCTCCTTGACAGTTTTGAATAAATCAACCCACCCCCCCCCCCTAAACTTTGAAAATTATTCATCCCAAACAGGAATATATAAGTATTTTCTTTTAAAAAATATTGGGCCCAATTTAAATTATTGGGTCGCTATCTATGATTTCATTTGTAGAGAAAAAGTATTATAGGTATGATGGGGGATTGTGTGTCCGGACACTTAACAAACATAAATACCTCTCTTTTACCTTGGGATTTAACAGAAAACATTCATAAACAGGGGAAACGCTCTCGGCGGTCTCGCCTGCATTACGCAATTCAATATGATGAAAAATTGAGGTTGGGACATTATTCATAGGCAGAGTGGCCCATTAGCAGGCCCCCCCCCCCCCAAAAAAAAAAATGAAATGAAATTCTCTGAATATAATCAACATTTTGAAGTGAGTATTGGCTAAGAATCATCAGAAAAATTATTTACTATAATTTGTACCAAGATTGATAAATTTAATGGAATATGAACATATACTAAATTTTGATTTATTAATTCTCATATTAAGTTGTGGAAACATAATCCAAGTCTACTGACCTAAAATGATCTTTGACCTGGAATTTGTGACCTGGAATCTGCGTCATATGATTTGTGATACTTGATAACCCTTGTGTACAAGTTTCATGGAATTTGAACGAACGCTTTTGAAGTTATGCTAAAAAATTCAAAATATGGAGGTTGATACCACAACAAAGTCTAAGTTTGCAGACCTTAAGTTAGATTTGACCTTGACGTTGTTACCTAAAAGACTAATTAAATGATTGGTGATACTTGATAATCCCTATGTTCAAGTTTCATGGAATAGGAATGTATACTTTCAAAATTATGATAAAAATTCAAAATTGTAACCTTTTGAAAAGTCTTGACGTTCATGCTACAACATAGTCCAAGTTTGTTGACCTGAAATCACATTTGACCTTGACTTTGTGACCTTAAATTCTACTCACATGAGTGGGGATACTTGATAACCATTCGGTCCAAGTTTCATTGAATAAGAACGTATACTTTCAAAATCATACTAAAATTTCAAAAACTTAACCTGAGGTTAAGTTTTTGATGTTGACGCCGTCGCCGCCGTCGCCGCCGCCGCCGGAAGAGCGGCGCCTACGTCTCGCTTTTTGCTACGCAGGCGAGACAAAAAGCACTAACTATCATAAATATGTGTCCTTTATCATATTGTTCAACATCAGTCTTAGAATAATAATGAAATATTGCTTCTTCCAATTGCTGTTTTAAATCTAATTTTTGGATACACAATCTGTCTGGACACACAACATCTGGGTATACTCATGGGAGGTTTGGGATAAAGGGTCTCGTTGACACTAACTATAAAGATGCCATTCTTGAAATGCATTCACTAAAACAAACAATTCAAAGAATGGTGTAATAAACTCACCCCTCCCTTCTTTCTCTTTCTCTCTCTCTCTCTCTCTCTCTCTCTCTCATGTTGCACTTGTCTCTGGGGGTATCCCCGTCTCTTCCTTTACCTCTTCCCTTGTTTATCTTCCTTATAAAAAAAAATACACTGTGTTTCTACTCTCTCGCTTCCTGTCACAAACATGATATTGTTTTCACTCTCACCAAGTAACTTACCTTGGTATCACTTTGAAACGATTCGTAGTTCTGTCTCGACATCACGCCCGCCATGATCAATGTCGATATCCTTGGTTTGTAAGTGTTTTAGTCGTGGGCGTTGAGGTCTGTAAGCTTGTTAACAATACTATCTAAATACACCTAATTTGCAGTTACATTGCTGCTAACGTCTACGCCTATGCACATCTGTTCTAACATCTAACATGGCGAACATGAATGTGGGAAAACACACACATCCATTGTGTGCAAACAAAAGCTTGGAAACATACTTGACCTTCGGAGTACGTCAGCTCGCGCTCGCGCAAATATGACCCGGGGATTCCCCCCATTCAGTGGTTGACATCGTGCACAGTGTGTGTCTTATGTCTTGATATATGAAAGGGAGTATATCTGTTGGCGCGGCTGTGTGAGAGTTGTTTATTGTAAACAATTATATTTGAAATAGTCATTACATGATATAAATGTATTTTTTGGTAATAAATAAACTTACTGTTCATGTTCTATGAATACACTATTCATTCGTCTTTTAAATAATCTTGTTTTATTGACCTAATATGTGTTTGAGAAACGTGTTGTGTACTAAATACTATTTCAAATTAAGATCTCATCTCCGCGCTCATACGACAGTTAAAGGAAAAGTTGAGTTTTGTTGCAGAAGGCGCTACACAAAATAATCTTCTTGTAAGATAATGAAAAACTGAGTGTCACATTTGAAAGATCGTACAATTTAAATGACAAAATCATCTTTGATCAAAATCGGTTCAGAGACGGATGAAATATCCATAAATATAACCATTTCTAATATCTGTGGGGCGCCAAAAATATTCGATAATTGTGAGATAATGAAAAACTGAGTGTCACATTTGAAAGATCGTACAATTTAAACGACAAAATCATCTTTGTTTGATCAAAATCGGTTCAGAGACGGCTGAAATATCCATAAATATAACCATTTCTAATGTGGGGCGCCAAAAATATTCGATAATTTTGAACCAGCCGTTGAAAATCAAATAGCGCCTTATACGTTTTATTTCGGGTAATGTCAATGTTGGCGTTTTGTTGGATTGTCATGTTAGTAATAATACGCACAACCAGCCGGCCTGTGTATTGCTATTATTAATTAATTAATTAATTAACGGTCACCGTATTTTTTGCAAAGTGGAGCTGAATTGATACTTGTATTCAATTTAAATTTCACAATTTTTTGGTTTAAAATTACCTTGATAGCAATTTTAGGTCAAAAAATGGCACTAAAAGCGTCATGAATAAGAATAAGAGCAATAACCAAGCACTTTGAAGGCATTTGCGGTCTTAAACAAGAACTCAATTATCTCTTTAAGGATTTTTCCCAATTGTCGAGTCTAAATTTCTCAGGCGAATGTATACTGTCAGTTCAGAAAAGAGTTAAAAGATTTCTTGACCTGTTTAGTTTACTCACTGGCCCGCTTATATACCTATTCCTTCTCAATCAGACACATCCGACCCCAAATGGGGGAAATTCAAAACAAGAATAAATGAAACATATGAGGGCAGTCATGCTATCAAGCTTTGCTCACTTTCTTAACTCTCCTGTTTGATGTTTTCGATTAGTTACAGCCAGCCTTAATTTATTCTACATTATACTTTTTTGTCATGTGAAAAATTTGCAATGATTTTGTTGAAAGTTGTTTGTTATTTATTTGTAAATCGCAAAAGAAAAAGGAAATCAAACAGAAATAATTAATTTAAATCAATCAAAGCAAAGCAAACGTTAATATTTATTGAACTAAACACACAAGACATATTCTTTCGTACACTTCCACCAAAACAGAAGTACATTTACTAGTATGCAGATTTCCATACAAAGTGCTTAACAGAATGAAATCTTTGCTGCAATAAACACATGCCCATATTTTACTATCAATATTTTTGAAGTGATGAAATTAGTGATGAAAGGACAACAATATACATGTTGTTGCATGTCTAAGGTTATATTATTTTTTATAATAGTTTTAGTTTTAATTCCACGATAAGAAATATTTTGAAGAAATATTTAAATTTTCGAGCTTTCTCCAAATTTGCCCAAAAAAACTATAATTTTAAAAATTTATTTTTTAAATTTGATTTCTGCGTTAAATAGCATGATACAAAATAATTAAATGTCACAAAAAAATAAATAAAATCATATTTTTAGACATTGACAAATTACTTTTAAACATGGTAATAAAATACACATATGGAAAATTAACTGTTTATAGTTATTGAACACAGGAGATCGCCATTTTAATCCCTAAAAGGAAATATTTGAGCTTTGAGCCGAATTGTGTTGCACTTACAAAAAAGTGTGGTGAATTATCATATACTACAGAAAAAAATATTCTGTGTGCCCATGCCTTGAGCTATAATGCATGGCCGTACAGAGGATTTTTTTATGTTGGGGACCGGGGGGGAATTCAATGAATTATTGATAACTTACTGCATTTTCTTTGTTTTGTTTTATTAGTGGGAACTGCCCCCTACCCTAGCCCCCGCTGCGTACAGTCATGGTTCAGTGACAAAGCAATGGCCTCGTAACTGTGAGGCCCCAGGATCAAAACCGTGTCGATGTGCCATATTAGTGCCCTTTTGTGGGGTCATCAATCCTCATTAATGTCAATTATGACATAAGGACGTAGGTCCCCTAGTTGATAAGCTTAGTAGCATACACATGCTTTAGCAGTCCCGCAAAACAAATACTGGCAAATTATTATTCAATAAAATCTGAGAATGTATACTTTTATCTAGATCTATTAGGAAAAAATCATTGTCAAAATAATTCCATAAATTGGGGTTAAAAAAAACACATTCCAACTATATAAGCGACAGTGTACTTACATGAAAATTTACAAACATATTGAGACCATCAAGTCCGTAGATGCAAGTAAAAAAATTTCTTTACAATCAAACTTAAAGAATGATGAATATCAGATAAATGAAATAAGTATAAAAAGTGTATAAATGCAAGAAAATAAAATATGAAGAAATACACATGAAAAAAACAATCTTGAAAGAAAAGGAATGAGCTATAAAAAGTGTGTAATAAACGAGAAATATATATTGACCATCAATTGAAGTGCACACAGTGCTAATAAAAGTAATAGTCTGTAAATATGTGGCGAATTTGGAGTTTTATGAAGTTTTATGGCAAAAGTTACTGTTCGAGTAAACTATTAATTTCTTCTTGTTGTCATGTAGTACTGGAGCACAATGGTTTGTTAGTCGCACGTGTATTATATGACCTTTTTTAACGGTATATTAAAGACATAATGACTGCTTTAATATTCGAGGAATAGTTGTTTTATAGCATTCATTATCTATAATATTTCATGTCATATCCTGCATCAAAATTTTGTTGGTTGTTGATTGGTTGAGAGCTCGTCACATGACCAGAAATATTTGAACTATTTTTAGAAAGAACTATATGAGAGTACTATTTGGGAATACTATTTGGGAGTTGAAAAAAAAAGAAAACAAAATTTCTTCAAATCTTAATTTATTGAAAACAAAATATTTTTAATCTATTTAGATATAAAATTGACATTTTTTTTGTTCTAAATTTATTTTTTTTCCCCCAAAATGTGTGTGTGTTGTTGTTTTTTTTTTTTTTTTTATAAAATAAATTTTCGATGCAGGATATAGAACAAATATACCATGCCTTCTATTCGAGGTACTGGTTAAAACTATGGGCCTCGGTGACTCCAAAAGTACCATATGCTTCGGGGCTGCACCTCTCAGCAAATAGTACTATTGGAGTCACCTCTTGCGCATAGTTTTAACCAGAAACTCTCAAGACAGTGTATCTTTGTATAATACAAAACATTTTGAGGGATTTTCTAGATTGTCGAGTTTTCTCTAAATGTACATACAGTACTATAATCTGCAATGTATTAAATGCTCTTTATTGTGTTTTCAAGAACATAATACAAAATAATATAATATTACAAAAGAAAATATATAAACACGTTTTTAGAAATCAACAAAATACTTTTAAACACGTAAAGAAATTACACATTATAGAAAATTAATAGTTTATAATTAACACAGTTTGTGAAAGCAGGAGACCGCCATCATGAGCGAGTTGCTTCATGTCGATGGCGACTTCAAGGTAGAAAACGTGACGCCCACTTTTCCCGCAACCAATCATAATATTCTAATGGTCACAAGTCATAAAAACATATCTATTAGGAATTTTGGGGGCACCAAGCCGAATTTATTCGAATAAAACAATTAATTCGATGAATTATCATATATTGCTCATATTCTTGGTTAATAATGTTTCATTCTTTGGCAACTGTTATTTGTTTACACTAAGATAGCATCGAACAATATACAAAGGAATAGAACAGTATAATAAGCATGGTTAAGATAATAGTTTGGGTTATGTACATACGTCACAATAGAAAAGAGATCAACAAGCTCTATAAACATTTAGTACAGATTTATGAGATACATTGACCCTAAATCATTTTTGTATTCGATTATACCAAACAGTTACTTTGGTAATATATACAACCACATAATCATAAGTAATTATTAATATATGAAGAACTATCCAAACTATCCACTGAAAAGAAGTGTTGGAGTCAAGTGGTTTGAGTACTATTTAAATCTAGATTTATAAGTAATATTATTATTACTATCATTATTATTATTATTATTATCAATCTTATCATTATTGTTGTCATTATCATTAGTAGTGGCAATAGACAATTATTATTATTATCATTCTACTTATTATTATTATTATTTATATCATCATTATAAATACTGTTATTATTAGTATCATTGATATTATTGTTGTCGTTGTTACTGTACAAAAGAACGACGTATACGAGGAAAGTGCGAAATATGCAGTACAATAGAAAACAAACTGAATTTCTCCTCCGCAAGCTTATTTTGTTTATCCTCTACTAAACCGCAAAAATATGACTTAAAGGTAGTGTATATCCCTTTTAAAGCCACACTGTACTACTTGTAGCTACTTGCTCCCTCTATATAGAAAACTTCCACAATCGGTGCCTGTTGGTCCCCCCATGATCCTCTTTTTCTTATGTTAATTGAGAGCTGAGTTAAAGTGATAGCCACATGTCACAGTGACCTCGCTGGCTCGCTGAGTGGTCTAATCCCTTCTGGCTGAACTAGTACAACCGGCCTTTAAAGCCAACATCAAATTATGTAGAAATTTGCAGGAATTAAGAATATGTAACGTATGCCCTATCTGTGAAATTTAAACGTTAGCAATCCTAGTATTCAAAGGAATCCCGTTTGCTTTCTAGACTTCACTGTCAGACACTAGTGAGTGACTGACTAACTTCTTCTTTTTTCTTCGGTAATAACATATATAAAATGAGCTGTCAAGGGTACATGAGCATTTATCCACATCATTAACACACTTCTTGCAATTGCTAAATTTAAGCTGATTAATCTTTGCGAAGCACAAAACGTATGCCATTCGGTTTAAGGGTCTGAAAATCAGACTATTTAATGAAACGAGCGCGCTCGCTAAATTTGATACGACAATTTACGGTCGTTATTTCCCCACAAAATTACATTTTCAATCCCTTTCGTTTTGAGGGATGTTCTAAGTTAGTATTGTCTTTCACATGTCATGTGAATTTAACCTTTTCATTTTTTGGCCTACAAATGGGACATACTACCTTTAAGGGGAGCTTATCATCATTGATGGATTACCAATAAATTTGTTTCATACTTGTTGTACAGAGACAGGGTCTTGAAAGCTAAGTTTTCACAGTGGGTACTGACGGATATCTTAACACGCCAATGTTGTCCGACTAGCAAGGGGAAAAGGGTCATCACATTCTTGGGGACATCATTCCACTCAAAATTTTGCTTACAGAAACCTAGCGAAATAACCCTCCAAACTAGATTTAAAACCCTACCCCTTTTGTTATGGTTGAGGTGTTGTGGGGTTTGCCGAGTACGACACCTAGACCAAAAGTGACCACAGTCGCTATAACATCATATATGCCTCGCACTAGCCTTCGACAGAGATTCAAAGGTGGTTGCCACCAAGACTTTGATGGCATGGGAGTCGTGGCAGCCTTCACCAGGAATTCCTTCAAGTCTTCCCAGTTAGTTTCCTGCATCTCGACAGGTCCATCCAGCTTACCGCACATCATGACCAGAGAAGAATGCTTAAACGCTGTACCTTGCTGGCTTTCAAAGGTTTTCATCGTTTCTCCGTAGTAGCCAGGTGTGTCAAAAATATTGCTGGAGGGGAAGTCATGGACTATCACGCATATTCTGGCCTTTCCTGAGTGGATTGGAAAAAATAGAAATGACAAAGGTCATTAATACACATACATCCATCACTGAGGTCATTTGGCCGAAAAAACTTTTCCATCTTCCTTAAAGTTTACGGGATAGCAAAACGACAAATATTTTGTTGTTGCATTATTTTTGGTGACAATCACTAATCATGGTGAAGTTGTGAACTTTATGTACATTGATATATCTATTTGTTGCCCTTCCGTGTAATTTCGCCAAAGAGTATAAAGAAAGATATGAACAATTCTGGTTCTGGTTCTGGTTTGGTGGGCTACTGCATAAACTCCTCAGCTGGGATGTAACATGCAGGCGCAGTCGACTGAGCATAGTATCCTATACTTAATTTCTGAAGTGGGCTCTAGCAATTATTTCGCCCATGTTGAGCTTTTGTAAGTTATCTTTAAAGGCTCCAAGGGTGGGGGTATTTCTAACATGGGTTGGGAGAAAGTTCCATTCGGGGAATGTCCTGGGATATAAAGAGTGTTTATAACAGTCCTTTACAGCGGATAACTTCTTGAATGATACTGAAGAGCGTATTCTTGTAGATACCCCTACTCCAGATGACCTGTTTTGGTAGTGGTCAGTATCAACGGAAATAAAGTTGTGGATGGATTTGTAGAGGAAAGTCAACCTCTGGGCTGCTCTTCTGTGCTCCAATGGTTGCCATTTCAAATAGGAAATCATCTCAGAGACACTGCTCCGGCGTTCATGACGGTTCAAGACGAATCTTGCAGCACGTCGTTGAACTCCTTCGAGTTGTTTTATGTATTCCTTCTGATAAGGGTCCCAAACTGAGGCACAGTAATCAAGTCGTGGCCTGATTACAAACAGAAGACCTCACCACCCCAATGTGTAATAAGTGTTGCCCGAATATTAATTGTGTAATAAGTCTCCGCGGGGCTGCAGCCCCAGCAACAAGCATCTCCCAATCCCTCTGCTACGTACATACACAGTAATATGAACATGACAAATATGCAGAAAATAAGCTACAATATTCTGTCTTAAAAATCAACTATATTTTCATTTTAAAAAGTCTAACTAAGACAAACAATGATAACTCTTCGTTTACAAATTAACGCATGTGTCATAAAAATAATTGTGTGTGCAAATAAGCTGCATATTCCCCCTTTTGTGAACATAATGAACATACCTAGAAGGTTGGCAGACTTGGGTAAGAATTTGTCGTAGAGGGCGTCCATGACATCAGTGATGGCAAACCCTCTGTTGTTGATAGAATGGCAGAGTATCATGATGTTAACATCAGAGCCTTTGATTTCGCAATGATCAATGTCATTGTATGGTAGTTGCTGGTACTGGACGTCCAAGTCTAGGTCGGGGAACTTGCTGGATAGCTCATCAATGAATCCTTGTACGTTGGTCGAATAAACAGACGAACATACAGACGCTCTCCATGACTACGGATAAAAAAAGTCGAGTACAACATTTTCAGGGATTCACAATTATTAACTCCAAAATATTTTGTTCATACTAACGGCTATGAGGGGGATATTTTTGATATTGTGTATTTCCCAAGAACAATCGCATTCTCCGAGTCGACAACGAGTGCAATAACGATGGTATAACAGTCCAAGGAGTGTCTTATCTAGGACTGGTCTTATCAACCAAGAAAACAATTCCGTCAATATCATCATTATTATCTGTCCACACAAAACTAATATTTATATCAAGTGCTAGTTCGCAAATGGTCGCGAATGATAATAAATATCATATTTTCCACCATAGATTTAGGTACATCATACATGTACATTCATTATTATGATAATGTGAGATCGATTGGGTAATCACATTTTATGTCGATTTGTAATGAACTCCTAGGGACACAACGCCTTGAAAGTTAAGAATAAATCAACCCAACCCCCTCTCCCCCCCCCCCGAACTGATTAATCCCAAACAGGAATTTATTAGTATTTTCTTATCAAAAATATTAGGCCTGATTTTAAATATTTATTTAGAATAAGTCGCCCATTTATGATTTCATATTTAGAGTAATATAACTGTCTGGTATGATGGGGAATTGGATGTCCGGACACTTTACAAACATATAAATACTCCTCTTTTGCCTTCGGATTTAACAGAAAATATTCATAAAAAAGCACTTACTCTCATAAATATTTGTCCTTTATTATCCAACATCAGTCTTAGAAGATTAATGAAATATTGCTTCTTCCAATTGCTGTTATTGATGGCTTAAGCTATGCCGAAAGGGTGGGTAGCGTCGCGTCGCGTTGACTTGAACGCGACCATTCGTCCAATTCGGGGGGGGGGGGGGGCTTTGGACGAATGGTCGCGTTCAAGTCAACGCGACGCGCCGCTACCCACCCTTTCGGCATCGTCTGTCCGGATGCACAATCGGGGATAAAGGGGACCCGTAAAGGGTCTCGTTGACTAATCATTGACTAACTATAAACATGCCATTCATGCAATGCATTTACTGAAACATACAACTCAAAGAATGGTGTATTAAACTGACCCCCCCCCCCTTCTTTCTCTTTCACTCTCTCTCTCTCTCTCTCTCTCTCTATCTCCCTTCTCATTGTGCACGTGTCTCTGGAGGTATACCCATCTCTTCTTCTTTCCTCTTGCCTTTTTTATCTTCCTTATATCACAAATAGAAAATGCATTGTGTTTCTACTCTAGACTTTCGCTTCCTCTCAAAAACAATATTTTTCACTTTTACCTAGTACATGTACCTTACCTTTTTATCACGCCGAATCGTTTCGTGGTTATCTTTCGACATCACGCCTGTAATAATCAATGTCAATATTCTTGGTTTTTAAGTGTGTTAGTCGTGTGCGTTGAGGTCTGAAACCTTTGTTAACAATACTATCTCGATACACATAATTTGCAGTTATATTGCTGTTGACGTCTACGTCTATGCGGATCTGTTCGAACATCTAAAATGGCGAACATGAATGTAGGAATTCACACATGCCATTGTGTGCAAACAAAAGCTGGGAAACATACTTGACATTCGGAGTACATCAGCTCGCGCTCGCGCAAATATGACCCGCGGATTTCTCCATTCAGTGGTTGACATCGTACACAGGGTGTGTGTGTGCGTGTCCGTGTGTGTGTGTGTGTGTGTGTGTGCGTGTTTTCCCAACTAGCTGAGTTGGAGCCTCGAGTTGTGGCGAGCTGGGGCGAGCTTGAACTTGCGTAAACTCGTGTGAAATTTACTAATTTTTATGATTTCAATTTTTTTTTAAATTGTTATTTTCCTGAGTGATCTACGACACAACACCGAGTTTCCTAAGATAGATGCGCGATACGAGTTACGAGAGCTTGGTCGATCTACCAATGAGTAATCGTTTAACTAGTGATAAGAGTTTTTTTACGTGTCATATGCGATCCAGGGGCGGGAAATGCATCACTTTGGCACTCTCCAAAATAAAGATGGATGCCAGAAGTCAAAGGCGGTTTTTCTAGTACCCCAAAACTGCACTTTTTTACATAGGAAAGGTGTCCCTTGAAAATCTAATGAGTGCCCCTTTTTCGTCGTCAAATGCCCATTTCTCATTCTCATAAGTGCCCCTTTTCATCCCTGGTGAGGCTTCTTTTCAGGTGTAAGGAGTGCTCCATTTTCAGCTCTGAAAATGACTCTTTGTACTTTGATACGTGATAAGTGTCTTATTCCTTTCGATAAGGGTCCCCCTTTTCCTCTCATCATTAAACGTCCTCCTAATTTAAAGGGATTAAGAGCTGATGTGTGTTCACTTCTATATTAATTAATCGAGAGTTATTTCAAATAACATTTGTAATAAAATTATGAATTTTCAATAAACCGGCATCTCTCCATTCTCGTTAAATAAAACAAATTCTTTTTCTCAAATGTAATGTTACTATTTTTCCAACTAATTTCATTTGTAATATCATATAATTGAATCTTAGTTCTGACCACGTCCTAAAAGATACATCAAGAAAAAAGGGGGCATCGGACAGATTTTAATAGGGGCATTTATAGGAAGTGAAGGGGGCACTTATTTGAAGTGAAAAGGAGTAAATTCTCGTACCTGGATGAAAGATGCATGTATAAGAAGGGGAAGGGGATATTTTTTTTAATGGGGGCACTCATCATGATGAAAAGTGGCACTTATTAAAAGGAAAAGGGGCAAATGTGAAAAAATATCCGAAAGGGGCCACTTATCAACAAAAAAAGGGCACTTCTCGCACCTGAAAAGGGGCACTTATGAGAATGGAAAATGGACACTTGATGCAAAGGAAAATTGGACATTGTCGAAGAAAAAGGGGGACTTGTCAAAATCAAAAGGGCACTCATAAGAGGTGAAAGCGGAAGGGGCACTTTTAAAAATTAATAGGGGTACTTGTCAAAGTAAAAGGAGCACTTTTCCTATGTAAAATGGGGCATATTTCGGGTAATTGAAAAAGTGGGGGTGTGCCCCCTCCCCTGCCCCCCGGGGAGAGCCCCCTCTGATTGTCGCGCTCTTCAAAATAAAGATGGATGTCAGAAGCATATTTGATCGATCTGCTGGAGGAAGAAAGGCTTTTATTTACCGTGTAAGTCAAAAAAAAAGTTTACACCTAGAAAATTGCTAATTATTTTAAAAATCATCTATGAACAGTAAATTAATATACATCTTATGAAAGAGTGTTTTATCCCAAATCATTTGGTATCATTTTTGTGTGGTATGAATTCACGCTTGGATGAACAGGAGGCATTGTTTGCGAGAGTGCAAAAATGGACTTGCGCCAAAGTGATGTCTACAGTATGTATTATATTGGGATTAGCAGAGTGAGAGAATGAATTGAATGTATCAAATGAAATGCATTGCATATGCTTTTTGCAGAAGCAAACAATGCCTCCTGTTCATCCAAGCGTGAACACATACGGCACAACATGATACTAAATGATTTGGGATAAAACACTCTTTCATAAGATGTATAATAATTTACTGTTCATAGATGATTTTTTAAATAATTAGCAATTTTCTAGGTGTAAACTTATTTTTGCTTCACACTGTATAGGCCAGCTGACGTATCATGGTGCGCTCGTCATGCTCGCCCTGCACTCTGCTCATTCTCACACGAAACGTGCAGGGCTCCTACTTAGCCGAGTTGGAGCCTCGAGTTGTTGCGAGCTGGCGCGATCTTATGGCAAGCCGTTTTATCATTAAAACACATTTCTTGATATCAAGAAATAATTTTACGTTGTAGAGCAATGGTAATTCTTGATATCAAGAATTCGATTTCGTGATATCAAGAAATATTTTTTAATGATAAAACGGCTTGCCATAAGATCGCGCCAGCTCGCCACAACTCGAGGCTCCAACTCGGCTAAGTAGGAGCCCTGCTTAGTCTCCGTACTCGGCATGACAATGACAATCGTGATGCTCGTACTCCACTCTTTGAAACTCGAATAGCACTCACGAATACTAGAAGGTGGCATGTTGCTACGAGTTATGAAGAGTGCAGCGCGAGCTTGTTTCAAGTAATGCGAGTATAATTACGAGTGCAAGCGAGTTCACCTCGAGTTTCAACGAGTCAGAGAAAGTTTGAAACATGTTAAAAATTGTGGGACTGCTCGCGACTTCGAGGAGAGTCGATGCGAGTTATCCCGAATTACAAGAAGAGCTTTCCGCGAGATATTGCGAGTGCCCCCTTTTAAGCAACTCTACATTACTCGCCAATACAACTCGGCTTATTAAGTGGGAACCTTGCTCATGCGAGTCTGTCTGTTGGCGCGGCTTTGTGAGAGTTGTTTATTGTTTAAACTATATTTGTGCGTGTGTGTAACAGTCACCAGATACATGCATGGTATAAATTGTATTTTGGTGTTACCATACTTACTATTCATTTTCCATGAATGTACAATTTTATTCATGTTTTTAATATTCTTGTTTCATTGCCGTTATGTGTTAAATATATGACAAAAATGTTATTGAACTTTTAACATGGCCCACTAAGACTTTACAAGTATAAATAAAATACGTGCAAAGAATTATTATTTTCTGTTGTCTCTTTTTCTCGCACTGTAAACATGGTGTAATATGAAACATGTATTTTACAACTTGTTTGCCATAAAGTAGCGCCAAGTAGTAGTGCATCTATTATGCCCAGGATCAGCATTTTTCAACGGATTTATTTTTTGGCATGGCATCCTTTTAAGGAATGAAAAATTCACGTCATCCCAATCCCAAATTAATTTACAGAAGGCTCATTTTGCTTCACTCTGATACTCGTCGTGTACCATGAACACATCTGAGCACATGCGAGCGAGCGAAGCAAGCGACAAAAAATAGTGACACTTTTATGATGGTACACCCACAACAAAAAGTGAGTCACCCTTACTCAAATTGATGAGTCACTGGTTTGTCCGTACAGCGAAACACTTGAAGGATCATGTGAGTCACTATGACTCGATACAAATGAGTCTTATTTATCTAAGAGACTCATTTGTATCGAGTCATAGTGACTCACATGATCCTTCAAGTGTTTCGCTGTACGGACAAACCAGTGACTCATCAATTTGAGTAAGGGTGACTCACTTTTTGTTGTGGGTGCATCATGACATAGACCCCCCTACTCCCTAGGCCTATCACACACATACCATACCATGTCACTGTCCACATTTGCAATGGAAAATATATCCTAAAATAGCACATTTTAGCGATGTAATCGGTGGTCCCGCTACCCGAATCTGAAAAATCTACTTTGTACGCACTAAATTAAGCCTTAACTTGAGATTTATTTGTCACCCATACTGTCACGAAACAATCTTGAATTAATTCGTTTTACATCAAATAACAAGGATCTAGGAGTTTCGTTGTATAAAACAATGATGCAAGATCATGCATGTTTTCATTCGACACGGCTTCGTGCGATACAGTAGAATCTATAGTTAAGTTACACACAGCCTCATCAACTCGAGTGCGGATATCGTAAAATGAACGCATGCATCATTTGTATAATAATCAGAAGATTCAGCCCACGAATCCAGTCATAAAAATCATCGTTTAAAACCATATGAATAATTATGCGTACCAATTTTTCACTAGCTGCAGTCAAAACTCTTCTGAATCCAAGATATAAGATTGCGACGTCGCGTCGTCGATCGGGAATTCAAATATGGCTCGAGAATGCGCATTTTGGATGACGTCACGAAAGCATGTGCGCGCATGCATACAGCCTCACTTTCAAGTTGACTCACTTTTTTCTTCTAAAATGCTCTTATGTCGATCTTGACTCATTTTTTACGACCATGTGAGTCAGTCGAAGCATTTTGCAAATGCGTCAGCTCATGATTGACACACTGGTGAAATATAAATGAGTCAATAGAGACTCATTGGTTGTTACTAATGAGTCAATTTACACCTGACTCACGAAAATTATGCTTAAATGTGTCAAATGAATCACTTTTTGTTGTGGGTGTACACAACTTACTTTATAATCAACACACTATACATATATTATAGAATTAAGTGTGCGGGCACCTCGCTGCCGCATATACAGAAATCATTATGTTCGGTCCCCTCGATGCACAAATATGGAATAACCTGGCATTGCCCATTCTCATTGCCCATAACCATCCTGTTTCTAAATGTTGCGAGCAAGTGAAGGGAACAAGCGTGGTAAAAATGTAATTTCGATGGAAAAGATATAATCAATAAGATAATTCGGGCACCTCACTGTCAAATAGAAAGTTATAAGGGCACCTGGTTGCTCAAATATGGAGGTATTCAGGCGTTTCGATGATTCGAATCATCATGTTCCTAAATGTTGCGAGCGAGCAAAGCGGAAGATACTTTGTTATTTTGTAATGCTTTTTCCTCACGAAATGGTATGTACTCTAGCGGTTTCTAATATATTTGTAGTGAAAACTACTTGTTGGGAATAGTTTTTGTATAAATTCTCAGTAAAATTATCAAATAGGGACATAAAACAGTGCCCTATCCATCGGAAAACGGAGCCCGCTTACGCCCCCTTCCTCACTTTGACAACCAAGAAATGAAACTTGTTTGGGAATATATAGGGTTTTTTTTATTCATTACGTCCATCCACTTTTCGTAGAGGTCCCCCCTCCCTATTTTTCTGTTTAAGCAGATTATTATCATTCTGTGCTATTTGTTCAGCAAGTACTTGAACTCTGGGTTTTGTCTTATAAAGAGTTATGATTGGTCCACATCGATCGTAAGTCTTCCAATCAATCGCAAGTTTGCAGTCTCCTATATATTATGTACATATTTGCGATTGGTATCAGCTCTTCATAAGACGGGACCCTGGACTGACTCATCATTTTCACGGGGCAGGCAGGGGCGGACTGGCTGAGGAGTTTTGGGGGGAGTTACCCCACGGTCCGCTCAATATTTCGGATTAATGGCCGAACGATTTATGGTCTGAGGGCCGTTTGATAATAGGGTGTGTTTCTTATTGGTTGAGTTGGCCGTCTAGGGGAAGGGGTGATGACACTTCGATAAATCATTAAATAACGAATGTTGCCGTGATATAGTCATGTCGTGACATTGCAGGCACTATATGATTTCATCTATACATTTATCTTATGGTCTTTTTCATATTCGTTCATTATTGGTTGAATTTATTTCGGTTTCACTTTGTCTGTGTTGAATCAAGAACTGTTGCTAACTTAAGAAATACCTTAAATATACTTTCATAAGTGAAAACTAAAATTTCTCATAAGATCATTAAGTCAAATGATTTGATTCCTGCACGTTAGATACTCTCGTAGGGCTACGTAATCAATAATTCGTGATTTTGTTTCGAACAGTAATTAAACATACATTATCAAATTGCTAATAGGACTATGCCTTAAAGGACAATCCAACACTTGTAATAAGTTCATTTGAATGAAAGCAAAAAAACATCAGAGCAACAGAATGGCAAAAGAAATATGAGATCACTGCAGCTATGCAAATCTAAAATTTGTTATTTTTCGAGTGGATTGTGACATAGTGAAGGATAACTCTTCCGTGCTTTTGTCGTGTACAAAAATATCACTGATTTCTATTGTTCTCCCAAGTGCCTTCTCCCTCGGGCCCCTATTCAAAGTATAGACTATTATAAAAAGTGGTCCTCTAAAAAGAAAGCATACCCCGAGACACAGAAACATACATATTGAAAAATTAACTTTCTATTTTGTGTGTTGGAACCAATGACAAAATTGTCCGGCACTACCTCACAGTGACGTTACCGATTCAGCCGATGTGAAGTTCCTATTCGTATAGTGAGTACAATTTTTTAAAATTAATAACTTTCTTATTTTTGTCAGATTTTATTCTAACCTTCACCAGTCTGCTTTTCTGATTTTTCATCGATTGCCCCCACCCTCTCGAATGAACTCCCACACTATGTTTAAAACTCACCTTTTTAATCAGCTATAGTATACTGGAGGCGCAGACAAGTAGTTAATTCCATCCAACTGAATTGTATTGTATTAGTCATATTTCATTTTATATTGAACATGTTGAATAATTAAACGGAGTTCGACAACACCACCTGTACACTTAGAAACACCCGTATTAAGCGTCCTACGAATGTAATTACTATTAAAGTCTTTGCTTTCTTTTAGAGTAATTTGGATTTCCCTATAAATGAAAGTGGCTTAGATATTTTACAATTGTCAATGATCCGCTACCCCCTCAGAAGCACAAGGTGACGTTGACAGCCTCGATAAACTGTCGCCCTATACCTCCTACCCGAAATCTATTTCTGGAAACGTCACTGACACGTATAATAAAACATCATAAAAATACGAGACTAAAAACAACGTCAAAGCAAAGGAAAATATTTCTATAAACACATCGACGAAGTCGGCTTTTTAATCCACTCAAAGCGAATATTAACAATTGCAACTGTTTATACAAATATTACAGCGAAAAGAAAAAAGGACAGCACAAGTTTTTGTTAGTTTCCTATTCATAAATACCATAGATTATATAACACAGGTATCATTGTCGCACACAGTCATATCATGCATATAAGAGTACTGAAATATGAAATAATGACAGTATTAAAACGTCACGACAAATAGTATGTCACAAATAGATAATGTTCCCTTGATTACAAATTTGTGGTATGTCTTAAGCTAACGATTGCACAAAACAATTAACGAATAAGCACGATACAGTGATAATGATCACATGAAAATAACAGCGTATCTATAAGGCGGGGCTCCCCCTCCCAAAATTTGTTTAGACTCGAGTTGACCCGACGATTGCCCAAAGCACTATGATGTATCGCATCATAATTAACATAGCGCCACCTATAGCAATTTGTATGCCATTGAATTTGTTGTGAATGTTTTATTTTGACAGAAGAAAATTTGTTCAGTTCGCGCGCAATTACAAAGTTTTTCCAAGTCTAAATGTTTTAGTGTAAAAACATCATTTTCAAATATATCGACGCAAGACTTTGAGATTCAGAACCAAACGTTTTTACTTTGATTCTAACACCCAGTAAAATCTGCAATAATTGAACATTAAAGTAATTTAACAATATATGATTCAGATGTTATGCTCTTTTTTGTCTATAGGGCAGCAAGGAGCTACATATGAAATTTTAGGAAATCAATATTTAGAATGAACCCCTACAGGACGACCCTAAAAGCAAACACTTCGTATTTGAGGTAACGCTTTACTTCAATATAACTATATATTTTTTGTAAATTGTCCACATTATTTCTCTTATAAAATGCCAGTCTCCCTAAACACGAGGTAAAAATTGCACACGATACACGAACATACCTCGTCTAATATGTATCCTATATTAAATATACATGGTTCCTCATCCCAAAAAGTAAAAACAAATACAAAACAAAGCGGAGAGGGGACACATTGTTCATGATAACGGACCCTTTTCAAGTAATTTTTCTCACAAGTGCTAAAACTTGATAAATAAGATTACCATGAAATAATAGAATAAACGCAATAGGAAATAGTTTGCAGTGAAAACCGTCGAACAACTAAAAATGCCATTATATATATATTTTTCAATATTTCAAGTAATCATTTCAAAAGAAGTCATTATGAATAAAAAATATTAACCTTCCAGATGAGAAGTTCAAGGTATGTACATGAAATTGATAGATCAGTAATGCACATACTTTTGTAAAATCATTTCTCCTTCTTTATTTGTTTATGACAAGATTCTTGATGAAGACTTCGTTTCTAAATACAGAAACGACCTGTCACGAAATTTGAATTTAATTTGGTTACATTATAATACCTCAACAAATTATCTAACACACAAATTACATGTAGCTTATCACTCTTGACTTGCTGCCAAAGGGCATTGGCCCTTCGTAACAAAATTGACCTGAGTGGAAAAGCAGAGAAATAGATTAGCATGTTTAGCACAAGCTTTAAAATAATTCGGAGAAACAATAACAAAGTTATGAACTTTGATAGGTTTAGATCGTTCATAATTATATGTTATCATACATGGAAAACACCCCCATTTGCTGAGTACATAATTATAATCATGTAGATATTTCCTTTTCCACTTTACTAAGTAACTACAAAATCATCATTTTCCATGTTACATCACAACAATGTCTGAATTATCCTTAGAATCGATCAAACTTAAAATATTGGGTATTTTGGGTAGAAGTACATTGATTTTCACTAGATAACTTCGCATGTAATTTATACGACCACTTTGCCATTCGAGATATCCCATATTTTGATGATCTTGACATTGAATACATCGTAACTACCTGTTTCTTTGCCTGATTCTGGTAACATTTTAAACTCTTAATTCCACTTAAACTAACTTTCTACGCCGTTTGTTAACTTCCTTTAACTTATTTGTTCTGTTTGATTCGGATAAAGTCACACGGCTATATATGCAGCAATAACTCTATAAAGAGTGATCACTTTCGTCTTCTTCACGCAATGTTGCTTTCTCACCCTCGTCTTCTCGATTGGGGGAGCAATTCAAAATGTCATCCTCTGGTAAAATCTGGCAAGGTATCTCATCTCTCACGCCATTTCCACCACAGGAAATCCTGCCTTCCGACTGGCGCTTCACGGAGTTCAACTTGATGCCGCTGGCGCAAAGAAGCGGGCTTCCGTTCGGATGACCGTTGGACGATGTAGAAAAACGGTGGTGCGATGACGCATTCTTGGGGTACACACCTTTTTTGTTGTCCAGGTAGCCGAAGGTAAGGGCCTTGAGGATCCTATGCGCGATGACGCGGAAAGCGTAACGGAAGTCGCGATTCCGGAAATTGTAAATGAGTGGGTTCATGAGGCTGTTGGCGTAACCAAGCCAGGTGATGGCGTTCTCTGCGTGGAACGAGAGATGACAGGTTGTACAGAAGTTCATTATGAGGTACATGAGAAAGAACGGTAACCAGGAGAGAATAAAACAACCCATGATCAGTCCTAGGGTTCGGACAGCTTTGTATTCCCGTGTTATAGACCTCGATCGCCTTCTGTTTGGCTCGACAGGAGGATGATCACCATTTTCAGCTGTTCCAGCACATGGCATTGACGCCCTCATAGATTGTGAAGGGGATGTTCTTCCCAAGTATTCTGTCCTGCTCATTTCTTCCTTGATTCTGATAGCTTGCGATCGAGCGATGAAATAGATGTGACAGTACGTAAATATCATTACTGCGAGGGGTACGTAAAATGATGTCATACTCGATACGACAGCGTAATATCTATTCACAGAGAAGTTTACTCCGCAGATGTCATCCGTCGAGATATTCGATCTATCTTTGGCGTAAAGGCCTGTGAAGATCGGCACGAAAGATATGATACCAGAACAACCCCAAACAAAGGTTACCATGTAACCAGTCCTCCGCCATGACATGTCACTATGGTATGAGAGAGGTCGTGTAATCGCCCAGTATTTGTCTAATGAAATCATACAAAGAGTTAGTATGGATGCCGTACAGCAAAGTACATCCATTGACATCCAAAACTTACACATGAACGTCCCCAATAACCAATGACCATCGCTTAGTAATCTCATCGTCGAGAATGTCATAACGAATACCGAAACAGTGACGTCCGCGATGGCTAAATTCAAGAGAAGTGCGTTCGCGGGAGTCCTCAGTCTCCTGAACTTGGCAACTGCAACCACCACGAAGGTGTTTCCCACTAGGACAACCAATAGGAGTATCCCACAAACGATTCCTACCAAGACCTTACCTGATAGGGTCATAATAAACCCGTCTTCCAGGTAGTCCCCGGTTGTATAGTTTGTAGCGTTCATTTCGATGGCAGCGGTGGAATCACTCAGAGCCGCTATTGATAACGAACCATCGCGATAAACCCTACGATGATGTAATGAAAACTCCATGGCTAGCGTAGCAAGTTACGTTGACAGCATCAGGCAAAAGTCCATTGTGAAAACTACATGGCCAAAATAGATGTTTAGGTTTGCAAGCTGCTTACTGGCTGTCTCTCATTTCACAGGTACTGCATTTTCCACGTTGTTTGACTGTAAAAAGGGAAAGATAGAAAAGAAAAATACATGTAAAATAAAGACTATTATATTCAGTATCAATTAAACACTAAAAATGCTTCGAACGTCCAAGAAGTTAACATTACTTTCGCTTGTGATACATTTCCAAAATCATGAATTGATAGTTTTTAGTATTTTCACTTCCAAACCCACTATTTTCAGAATCAATGTGTGTGATCTTCTAGATTTGTATTGGTTAATGGATACCAATACTCCTTCATTTGTCCCCCGCGTTCATCATTACAGACAACCTAAATGTTGAATAGAATGGGGCGAGAGAGGGAGTAAAGAGAAGAGAAGAAAAGAGAGAGAGAGGAGCATGGGAGGGTCAGGAAGAAGAGAAAGGGGTGTTGGATGGGGTAGAGAGATGAGATAAAGTGGAGTGGAAGGAGTATAGAGAAAAGAGAGAAAGGGAGTTAAAGTAGTTACAGAGAAGAGCGAAAGTGATTTAAGAGGAGGTACAGAGAGGAGAGAGAGGGTTGTAAGATATGATACAGAAAAGATAGAGAGGGGCGTGGGAGGGGTTACAGAGAGAGGGGCAGAAAAGAGCAAAGTGGCATGAGCAGGTGAGGTGTACTTCGAAAACGCAAAGTAAAAAGAAGGGATAAGGTGACCCAAGTTCAATCTTTCCTTCCTTCGTAATTCCTGACACTTGATCTGATGAAACCCCTGCAGACCGAATGACCCGTAGACCTTTAAAAGAAGTCGGATATCGAGATATCAACCCCACTTAGGAATGGTTTTCGCTGGTACCACTAGCGATGTCCCCGCTTGCCCATCCCATGCCATGTCATTTTATTCCAAGATTTTATGGTCAATTGAGAAAGTTATTTGTAAGTAGCAGCTGCTTGATTCATTTTTAATTTGTCTTCGTTTCAAAAGGGAATAGACCTATCAATACGCTTAAAAACTTGAACTAAAGTTTTGCTTCTACCGTGTTTGCTAATTGTTTGTTTTGTTTTGCAACATACAATACTTTTTTGTTAAAATAATTGTTTTTTAGATAAATTCGCTCCTTTTATTCCAATTTGTTAAGAGATTTCTAAATATGGATTGATCATAATGTTGTGCTTTTTCTATATCGGGGGTAAAATACTAATCAATCGACGCTACTGCGCTACTGTCCTAACTTCTATATATTCCACAATAACGACAAACCCATGCTGCTATTTGAAAACAGGGTAGGCCTAAAGCATGGTGTCGTTATTTTAACAACAACAAACAAAAATCATTAAATCAAACTAAGTGAACTTTCCACTACTCACAACATCACCCCTCTATTTCTTTTTTCCAACGCACACCTTGCATAGACGTACATGTACATGTAGTCCACCAAATACATGTAGGTGAGGTGAAAAGTGCCCCCGATATAGAGACGGTCCACTCAAAGCTGTGTCATCAGACATGCACCCTCCCTCAGGTTTAAGAGAAAATCTAGGGTTTGTTTGATCTACCTTAACGGCTTGAACTTCAAAGGTTTTCGCTGAAAACAGAAATGGCGGCTTTTCAAGGGGTTCGATGTAATATAGTGAGGAAAAGAAGTCTGATATTCACCGACAAGCGCTAGGTTAATAAACACAACGATCAGCAAGCCTGCCTTAGAGGTCGGGTGTCTTAGATGACTATGGTATTGATCATAGACCAGTGGCAGACAGGTGGGATCAATTCAGAAGAGTACGAAGACACTAAAACAACCTCACCTGGGTTCTCAACCAAAAGTTCACGAGAACATTTGATTTTTAGCATATTGTGTACTTTAATCGATTGAAAAACTTCATGTTAGGATGTTCGGAGGAAAAAGTTCTTTGCCCTCAAAATGCCGCACCTTCATTTATCGACCTCCATGATTAGACGATGATTAAACAGCTACAACAACAACAAGACTTATTCTTTATCAGAATAAGAAGGTCACCCACACATTGATATTCAGTGAATTTTGTTTGGATACAATTCATTTCATACCGATCAAATAATGCTATTGCAAGTCGTATATCCGATATAAATCACATTGATTATTCAATTTCTAATCATTTTTTTTTACATCGGCCATGTCCTTCGGGAAGTCATTTAAATCAAGAAACAATCCTGTGAAATATAATGATACGCCATTGTGGCGAGTAGTATCGAATCAATTCCTGTCTCAAGCACCATACAACATTTTTGTTTTCAAGAGAGCAATGAGGTATTGGAAAATCAAACAGACACGTTTTTAGATTAATTGTTAACACTTCAACTGATCTGCTGTTTCGAATCTCTTGAGGGAGAGTATTCCACAGCGGCGACGGGATGTGGGGTTTGAGATGGACATAGTGCTGTTGGTATGTTTTATATAGGGTTATCAGGTGTGATTTTTAACACCCCGCCCATAATGCGCCCAAAGTTGATATAGAAAGAAAGAGCTACAGTATGTATGTGTAAAGTCAAGTTGTGAATTGGAGATGTAGATTGTATAAAGGTTTTTTGAAATAATCGAAGTTACTTTAATAAAAAATATAAGGGCCAATGACAAACAATATATCAAAAAATGTAAAAACATAACCCCATCCCCTCTAAAATAACGGCGAGAAAACTGAATGGCATATTCAAAACAAGTTTTTTTTTCTCGCTGTAACGGTAAAACCGACATAAACAAAATAAGACTCTACATGTCATGAAACATAGAGTTTTGCTTTAGAATTCCTTCTTTCAACATTTCTATACTTTATTACTGCATATCATGTTATTCAAATGTGATACGCGAATAACTGATTGCACTATGTGTATTTCAATAAATTAGAAGGTCTTTCTGATTCCCTGTCAAAACATTCCGAATTCGATCAATTCAGAGGAATTAGCCGATACATCAAGTTAGAAGTTCGAGAACCGGAAAACAAAAATGTACACCAAAATCAAATCGGTAAGACAGTAAGACTAATGACTTGTGATCCACCATATTCACCATTAATGAAGAAAGTAAGTCCCTCTCATCTCCCTGGTCCGAGATTGCAAAGCTGTTGGACATTATATCCACTCTATCACGTTGAGCGATTCGTTCTGGTAATATCGGAATCCATTGACATGCAAACCTCCAGAGAGAGGATAAGTACAGCTGGTCTTTCGGTCCAGTTGAGGTAGGATGCTCATTTATCAATCAGAGAGATGATCCAGAACAATCTTTCACGAACCGTTTTACGAGTTCCCCTCTGCTTTCCTGATCTACGACAGCCTTCTTTTCTGCTTGATGATTCCAAGCCAACAAGGACTTTTATTTGATAGCGACGCTGTAAACGCGACCGTGCTTCCCGACACTTTTTTTAAAGATACGGAGTGATTATAAAAACACTCCTAAACATTGACATAGACCGCAATCAATATGCCGACAATATCGATCAGTGAATCATTCATGCAGACACCTTTTTTTTTGGGGGGGGGGGGGCTCCCCAGGGTTCCGGGTAAAATAAAACTTTTAGGCCACTTTATAGACCACTGAACTTTTTTCACAATAAAGTTGCTATTGCTAAAGGCGCTATTACCCTCTAACCCCACTCTCAGGTTATCAGCAAAATGACGTCATATTTGTATTTCGAATCCATTCAATATTGTCTCATTTTTTAAACGTGATGACATTTGATTCTTATCTCTGTAGTTGCACTTTAGCGGTCCGTTCTTTTTCAAGGTTTTTTTTTTTCCTTCTAATCTTTTATTCTTCCTTCCTAACAGTAGGTTGTCACAAGCAAGAATCGTGAAGTAAGCCTTCTTATTTTATTTTTTTGAGGGGGGGGTTGGGTGTAGGGTCATGACATGCCCGGTGATTACAGAAAAGCTCTGTCGAGCAATGCACAATGGTGTAGCCAGTACAGGGCGGAGATGGCATAAAGTGCGTTCATTCGCTAACAAATAATAATAATAATAAAAACGCACTCGGATTCCTTATCACAACTAACATGATAGAGAAAGGGATAGACAGAGAGAAGGACTAAAAACAAAAGAACAAATGGCATTGATATGTAGGTCGATTGTGCTTAAAATAGCATATAATTATCCCGAATGGCAGTGAAACATAAGTCAGGTAAAATGTAGGTCAACTTAGGTACCTGGTGGAGCAAAAATAAAGCTCGTTTTTTAAACATGACCTCTTATCTGCATTCCGGTTATGAAATCAAACACTGTAAACTGGCATTCTATAACAATTTGTAAACAGCTCGGGTAATCACTGAAATGATGATGGATTGCATCCGTTTCCACCTGGGACAAATTGTCTTCAATTGTAGCAAGAGAACATATCATATATGAATCTCGATTATGTCCGAGACTTTCGTTAGCCTTCGCCTGTCTTCATGTCAGTATCCTTAACACGCTCTTGATAATAAGAAACAAAATCTTGGTTGCCCACGTAAGGCAGGTAACAAAGTAGGGGCGTGTGTCAGTAGCGGATCCAGGGAGGGGCCGGGCCCCCTCCCCTGGGAAAAAAAACAGGTAAAAACACGTTAAGTTTACCTTTATTTGGAGACGGGCCCCCACCCCTGGCGCTCAGGGGGGGGGGGGGTGGGAGTGCGATACATTTTCGGGGGCAAACAGAAATATAAACAAATTAGTGCTCCTTGTGAAACTTAGCCCCCCTGATAAACAAAAAACGCGTTTGCATTTTTCTGTTCGGGGTTTGGAAAGGAAAAGATTAGATTAATGTACCGAAGCTGATAATGTCTTGGGTATAAAATATGCTTACAGTTTTTAAAAAAATGGAACGTTGGGGAAAGAGATACACTTTCTCGAGTTATCAACATACAATAAGATCAACGCTCCACTGTAGCATTACGCCGAGATATGTTAATGCACATGCGTTAGGGCATAGACAATTTGGGGCTTGAAAAATCAGCGCCCCTCCTCCCCCCCCCCCCCTCACACATTTTCTCTAACAACCAAACGATATAATCACACAACGTCGGGACACAGGATGTAGCGGCCCTCGATCTCCCACGCTTTTCTCAAGCTATCAA